ATCAGAGTGTAAATAGCGTGGGGTGCCATGGCGACACACAATGTTATGCAAGAAGGCTGTTGCAACAGTCACTGCTTTAATATTTGCCACTGAGATAAGTTCTACATATTTTGAAAAGAAATCCACACAATTTCTTTTCTTCACTCCACGATGCAAAAGCAGCATAACGCTCGAAGCTGTCCACCCATTCCAGCACATCCTCCGACGTTCTGCCGGTAAATACGCTAGGCCGAAATTGAGAGTTTGCCATCATTGAGAACACCAGGTCTTCCACCATATGTGGCGTGTCTCTCGAACTATCGCACACACTTGGGGACTAACTCAAAATACGAGAGGACTCGGTTATCATTTCCAACATTACGAACAAGTTTATTGGGTTCCAACATATCATCATGAGTAACAATGTAACATCAGAACGAGCACTCATCACATCGTCCATCTTTCCGTATCCAAGGAACTCGCCCTGGAGAGGGCGCTACCCACACATAATAATAAACAGTGTGCAAAGCATTGCTCGCACGGACGTAGCTTGGGTTCCAGGCCCTTTTTGGGTTATTCACTCTTTATTGCTCTTAGCGCGCGTCATACCTAATTTAATTGGCGTCCCATACTCGATTTCTTTTTTTTCAAATTAGGGCCAGGGCAAACGATTCATGCGTGCAATTTCCCACATCAAATTCGATATGGGATATCGTATGCATGACTGATTTTCTACATCACGTGATTGACTTACTTCATGCATATTAATTATATCTTGGTAAATTTTCAAAATTGAAGATGCGGATGTCTCGACTAGGACAAGCTCTAACCAGCTCCCTTCTGCCTACTACTTGAATTAAAACAGTTAGTATATAGTCTTGACCTGCTGAGAACGACATGGACTGATGACCATAGTAGGCTGTACTTACAGAACCTTGCTCACCGCCAGCAGCTACACAGATTTAGGCCTTTTTAGGGTAAAATATTGTTAAAAAGGTAGGCCTCTGTAAATGTATATTAAGAACTTTAAAATAGGTCAAGCCTCTACACTACTCTGCTAGGCCTACTACTTCTGACTCCAGGGGTCTGAGCCATCCTCCTGGAAAGTTAGGTTGTAATGTTATGCCATCTAGTCTAAGCTTAATTGTTTTTGCCATTGCCAAAATCAGTCTTACCAGGTTCTATTCTAAAGGTTTTAGGCCCGTTTTATTAGGGAGAACTATTTTTAGTCATGCCTAACTAGTCGACGCGAGTGACTCAGTTTCATGGCTCCAAAAATATGAATATTTGATTGGTTGAAATTCTTTATTTCGGTCCGCCCATTTATCCAAATACGGAATATAAGATTACGTCATTCTTTTGGCATCCCGTTGCCTGTATTCAGTGTTTTACAAGTCGCTTATTCCGTCTCTAAATTAACTTTCTCGTTGGTGACGCTGTCCAGAATGAGGAAAATAATATTTAAAAAAATAAGAGACTTGTGGCAAGTCTAGCACGGACGTATCGCCACAATTATACCTCTTTTTGCAGTTTTGTTAGTCATTTTTTTTATTTATACAAACTTTCTGTTTTTGTTAACAAATTAGCATAATTATGTCTTTTATAACATCAGAAATTCTCGATTCGAGCCAACTTAAGCGATTAAGTAACCGTAAATACAGCTCGCATGGAAAACCTATCTTGGAAACTGCAATGCAGCCGTTTTGGAATTGGCTTATCGAAAAAGTTCCCCTCTCGGTTTCTCCGAATACGATAACATTGTTCGGCCTCGTACTAAACATTGCCAGCGTAGTTATATTGATGTCATATTGTCCTACTGGAAAGGAAGAGGTGAGCGAATTATTTACTTTTTTTGTCGTATTTTGAGTTGTTTCACATATATGCGGTCCACACCAGTGGTAACATCAGCAGGGTTCGGTGAGAGTTTTCTCCGGCGTCAGAAAATGGACTCGGGGCGTCAGATGCCACTTCTGGTCATTTATAGACGTCATGTGGGACAAAAATAATAATGTTTCGATCCAACCAAAGTTATGGTGATTGCAGTTCCTCCTGAAGATAAGGCAAATTCTATTCTCTCACGGAACCCGACCAATAGTGGTATTGAACCCTAGGCCCCTAGACGGCCTGTTTGGTTCGGAATCTACTGTCAGCTTGTAGATCCTCAGTCGGCCAATTTCTGAAACCACCACCACTGCCGCGGGCCCGCACCACCGTCAGTCCTATTTATAACCATTGGCAAATTATGGAGTTGATAATATAAGAAGCAATGTACCACTTGAAAGTTCGTGCAACAATGTATTTATTGCCGTTAATAATCATAAAAATGCAATTATTCTGAAAATTATCTATTTCATTCATTAGCATCTTGATCGTAGAAGTACTATCCCATTCTTTAAATTATTCATAAGATTGTGTATATCGTTGTTCACCTATCATCATTTTTTAAAAGAAATATTAAATTTGAATACAATTAATGAATGAAAAGGCTGGTCAATGTCTAACTAACAGGACGTTGCATTAAATTGCATTAAGCCTAAGCCTGCCACGGAGCTTTCAAGTAGGTCTTATACACGCACTCACTTTCTTCGAATAATGTCAAGTACTTTAACAATCTCTAGTATTGTGTTATTTTAACACTTTAACTTATGTATACAATATGTCAGGTTATACTGATTTTTAGGGGGTAAATTCTTGACTCAAGAAGTTATATTTCAGGATACCAAGCCTACCCACTTCATAAATGTGTTTCTCAAATACAGCAAATAATGACATCAAGTCAACTTGAAATACAATCAACTTACAGATGAAAAAAAAACAACATAATACGTAAACAAATACCTACTTTAATTGAAATTGCAAACAAAAGAGTGATTTGCAATTCGCCAGGTATCAATGGCTAAATTTATTTCCCATCCCTGACGCCATATTTGATATCTTACTATTTCAAAGGGTCTTCCCTAATAGAATGACTAGTTCGTTTTTAACCTATTTTAAAATCTTTTATCCAATCCGATATATCTGATTATCGCCCTATATAAATTGTGTCAAAATTCTCAAAGGCCCTTGAAAAAATATATACGAAACACTCTCGCAAGTTTACCACCATCAGAAATATATTTTATAGTAGACAATGTGGATTTAGGAAACAACAAATTTGGTGCCTGATGTTTACAGGCGTTATGCATTATCAAAGTCAATCAGCTTTACAGTACTGTAGTCTCCAATGAATGAATTGATCTTACCAAAAACAATTCTTGAAGCATTTGAGAACAGACAATAAAGCCTTGGACACAATAAATATAGCCTTTGGCACAATGACCTTACAAGCTCCCGGCCTCAGTTTTTTCAAAGTTACCTTACAAATTGTACTCAGTGTGCCTCCAGATCTAATTCTAAGTTTCGCTTGATCGCTTGTGGTGTTCCCCATGAGTGGATCTCTATAGTATTAAGCCCTCTTTTATTCCTTTCAACTGAAGTGGCCACCACAATAACTATACACAATTCTCTTAAAATCAACAAATCACCTGATATCGATGGGTCGTTGCTATTTTATTTTACATCCCTTTCCATATTTTCAATGCTTCTATTTAGATAGCGGACTAAAACGGAAAAAATCATAGTCCTATAATTTATGGACAAGATAATTTGAGATTACAAGCCCTCGCACTGTTGCGCCATATCTATGTATATAATCGATTTACCCGATCCGCTGGCTGTTGTATAATATATGAGTGACCAAAAGGTGCACATCTTATGTATAAAGTTGATCGAATGTATGAGGCTCGAACCTCGCTCTTGTTTCAATTTTGTTTCTATTAGTTTTTGTTTTCATTATTTTTGTTTTTATTATTATTATTATTATTATTATTATTATTATTATTATTATTATTATTATTTATTATTGTTATTATTATTATTATTATTATTATTACTATTATTATTATTATTATTATTATTATTATTATTATTTTTAAAATAAAATTGGGACATTAAATTGTGAGATATACAGCCAGAAAATAATCTGCATTTGACTTCTTCAATCCATCTGCCAAACAAGGCAAACCCATAGTGCTTGCACGCCGTCCGGACTGTTTCCAGTCCGCCGGCCAGAATTTGACACCCCATATCCAATCCAATTCAATCCAGATTTCCAGCACAGGCTGTTAATAAAAGCATGAAAAACAATGCTCTGTCGATCTTCTTTAAAAAAAAAAAAACAAAAGTAAAACATAGTCACGTGGTTTGTTCTTTGGAAATATTTATTCATTTCTATTAAAGAATCTCAAATTTTAAAAACTTTAATAGCGTTTTTATCTTATTATTTACTTTGCGCAATTGATATGTTTTTAATTGAGAGCTACGCTCGCCTATGATTCTGGAAGTGGATAAAGTCATCTGACGTACTTTAAAGAACCCAGTGCATATTCCTATCAATTTGTTACCGGTATTATACTTATGCAGGCGCCACGTTGGGCATACTTCTGTTGCGGTATTTGTCTTTCCATGTACCAAACTATGGATATCTTGGACGGGAAGCAAGCAAGACGAACCAAAACTGATGGCATACTCGATGAATACTTTGATCATGGCTGCGATGCAATTTCTGCAGGTATGCATATACCTCCATGAATATTATCAATCAACCGACCGACAGACGGATCAATCAGTTAATTGTTATTATAAATTTATACAATTTATACAACATATTAATAAAACAATCAGTCAGTCAATCAAACCACTTCAATCAATTAATCAGTCAATTAATCAATCTATTTTGATTAATAAACTATTTAATTTAAATAAATTCTTCTCAATACATAATACATTAAAACTACGATAACAAACTAGGTCTAGGTCCGTTGCCTATTTTCGATATTCAGATCAAGCGGACCCCAGTGGAAATAAGTCTGAACTTCAGACTTTCGTGGATTGTCCTTGGTGTTTACACCAAATAATTCACCAATCCAGTATGCCACTAGTCTAATTACAATAATATGATAATACTAAGTTAATATCGCAATATATATAATATAATTATTATCTAATATAGGCCTATATGTTTGTTTTATTTATTTTAGTTTTTCAAACTTTTATCAGCATTGTTTTTTTTTCTCGTTATAGTCGTTATAAATTTGTTTCTCGTTATAGTCTTTATAGCTATAGGTGCTTCAATAACTCTACAGCTTGGTGTTCATCCAAGCGAGTGTTTCTTTATGTGTTTTGTTGGACTTGGAGTCTTCTATACTGCTCATTGGCAAACGTATGTTTCTGGGACACTACACTTCGGAAAGTAAATGGCAGTTCATTTGACATTTAAATAAAACGAAAATAAATGTTCTTAACAATACCGACTACATAACAATTTGTATTTATCTATGTTCTATAGATGCATATCACAAAAACAAAAATTAAAATCACTCCATTATAATTAAATTAGGACTATCGAAATGTTTTAACTATATCTCTTCTTCTGACTAGGTTTGATGCTGTTGAATCGCAAGGAGCTATTGCAGTCACTCATTTTATTACCGCTTTAATAGGTCCAGGAATATGGTCCTATGAAGTAAGATTATCCTTTATTTCCTTTATAAACAAATCGTATAGCACGGTCGTTATAGGCTACCAGAATGTCTTTAATCGAGTGCGTACAAGTGGTGTCCTCTTTCGGATAAGAAAAACTACTTTTTCATCCTTCTTGGTGGGAAAAATTAGACATTTTTACTAAAGGGACCTCTTTCCAGCCAAATAAAAAAAGCATTACAGTATAATTCAACAGTAAATTTTAGGAATTTGACTGCAAAGGGGAATCTTACTAACACAACGAGTTTTCCCCATGTTAAAGAAGCTCGAGACTTAGTCCACATCTACTGACACAAAAGAAGAAATTCTTTTCGGTACATAAATAAAACGACCAAACTACTACAAGGCCTATACAAAAAAATCAAATATGGTGATAATTATTACGCAAATAAGATGATGATAATTATTTTCTATTAGTCCAATATGTTACACCTTTACAGTCAGCGCCTGTAGGCCATCTATAAGCCTATGTAAAATAATTGCCTAAAAATATAATATTGCCTGCCAAAAAAAATCTAGAAATCCTAAAATATTCATAATCAAATGAAAAGATGAAATAAGTTATCAACTTTTAATTTTTTTATTTTTTGTCGCTAATTTTTTTTTTTTTTTTTGTATTTTTTTCAGATATATGGACATAGAATAAACTTCTATCTGCTAGTAGTTTCTACTGTTGTGGCATTAGTTGCTCTTCACAGATCATTTGAAATCATCTTTAGTAGAGGATCAACTGTAGCTGTGAGTGGTTTTTGACATTATTATGCCAAATATTATACTGTTATGTTTTATGAAATTTAATCTAAGTTATATTAACGCAAATGTTGTTTATAAACTCACCAATCGGTCATGTTTGTTTTGGTCACGTGGATAACTTTAGCGCTGATTAACGCACTCTGGTTTACGTTAATTTTCGTTGTCAACAAGTCTATTTAACGAACCAGTAGAATGAAAATAATACTCAACGAAAATTCGTACTCAACGAAATGAACTAGTCGAATAAGCCCAATATCTATTAGAACTGCGTAGAGTTCCTATATAGATAGAGTTGCCACATGAGCGGTTCAGGTCACGTGACTACTGGCCGCACTCTATCTATGCGGTGCCAAGTGTAAATTATTATTTAACACAATTATTTATATATACAGTCATTCATTATTTAACATATAATTGAATAGATTATTATTATATATATTATATATATATATATATATATATATAATGCATTTACGTCTAAAAGATTATATGTAAATAATTGCGTTAACGTTTTCATTATTTATATATAATTAGTGTACTGATTTCATTATATAAAAAATGAAAGGGAAATCAAACATTATTTATATATAATAAGATTACTGGTTTCATTATATATAAATAAGGAAAGGGCAACACACCATGATATATAAATAATGAAAAGTAACTTACAATTATTTATATATAATAAGTTCACTTATTCCATTATGTATAAATAATGAAAAGGTAACAAATCATTATATATAAATAATGAAAAGTAACTTACAATTATTTATATATAATAAGTTCACTGATTTCATTACATATAAATAATGAATTGATTTCAAACTCATTATATATAAATAACTGCTTTTACATTTCATTATATATAAATAATAGCTGTCGCAAAACCATTATATGTATATAATGCACACGGGTTATCGTGCCAAGGCCATTATATCTAAATAATGGTTTCTTACTGCCAATTATATATAAATAACCTTTGAGGTCGAGTGTCATTATATAAATAATGACATCGTAGGAAGTCATGGTTTATAAATAATTCGTTATGCAAATTACGAAGTAATAAATATTCACCAGTGCTCTTTAAGTTACAATTAGGGCCTATTGTGTGTGGTCTGCAGGTCGCAGACCATTACCAATCGAAAATGGCACAGCAAAGGATACAGCAGATTATTGAATGTGCTGTACTGCAAATCTCAAATCAATTAAGAGAACCCCAAAGTGAACGCCGATTTGGGTCTGTCGTGTCCGGGTCCGGGGAAATGTCCAGATCAGCTGCTGGTGATAGGCATAATACCGAGGTTCATCAACTTTGGGGTTCTCTTAATTGATTTGAGATTTGCAGTACAGCAGATTCAATCAGTGATGGAGCCAGGATCTGCCTGACGGAGGGGCTAAAGGCCCCGACGGGGGTGGGGGCTAGTGGAGTGAATCGAGCCTCACTTGGCTGGGGGCCAGAGGGGAGGGGCTTCAACCCCTAGAAGCCACGGATATTTGACGAATTATGGCGAATTTCTATTACTTATTTAATAGGCATCGAGCTACTATAATATAACTTCATGTAGGCTATGTTTTCTAATGTCGAAATGAGCTTCCAAAACCAAAACATTTTGAACAAAACAAGAAACAAAGAGTATGCAATGTAAACATCTAGGCTATTTTTTTTTTAAATCGTCTTTCTTCAAAGTGAAATCCTACATTTTTAAATTTTGCACAAAATCTGACAACCACGCTGTCAAGGTCGAGGTTGCTTCCCCTATCGCGATGTATTCCAAGCATCATGAGGCTATCCGAACGAGCATTTGTCATAACATAACGCAAATTATTTTCGATTAGTCTCTATGTCACTATTATTATTATTATTATTATTATTATTATTATTATTATTATTATTATTATGAAAACACAAATAGTTCAATGAAAACAACTGGTGGCGAAACGAACATTACATGTCATTTATTTTTTATTTGTTTATTCCCCGATAAAATTTATTCGTCTTCCCGTGTATAAGAGACGTGCTCTGCCCAGGCTCCATCACTGGATTCAATAATCTGCTGTATTCCTTGCTGTGCCATTTTCGATTGGTGATGGTCTGCGACCTGTAAACTACACACAATAGGCCCTAATTGTAACTTAAAGAGCACTGGTGAATATTGTTTCGACCTCTGCCACAAGATGGGAAAAGAAGAGCCTATCTAAATAGTGTATTAAAATAGGCCTATGCAGTACAGTACGTAGGTACAGTAGGTAGTACACTAGGCCTACTAGGCCTAGCTATAAAAGTAGCGTAGTACTTTTTCAGTTACCGTATAGTATGACTTACGGATTTCTCTTATTATATACTACTAGTTATTTTGGAGATACCATCGGACTGGGACCCTAGCTGAGGCGTGCCACAAACACCCATTTACTATACGAATTTCTAAGTTGTCCAGTGAAAAAGGTCTAGGCCCTGTCGCCTACTATTTTATGAGCCGATCATCAAACGCGATGTTGTACGCCTAGCAAGGCGCTATGCAATTTTGGTCAAGCAAAAACTGCATGTAATATAATAATTAATTACAGCATATTGAGAATCAATTTCTTTAGGAATTTTGTTATAAATTTCAAACACATGTTGATTAACATATATTTACTATCAAATGACATAAAATTTTCTTATTAATATTTTTATATATTTGTTTCAATTGTCTATTTTTTTTTGCAATCGCCACACTGTAGCATAGGCTTTGTGGTCGATCATGCATGCAAGGCACCAAGAAGGCTACCCCTTATCTTGTACTGCCATCTAGATATGAGCGCCATGGAAGAATGCGCAGGAATTTAATCATATTTTACAGTTTAAAAGAAAGACCAAGCGTGTTGCTAGTAGCCCCATCCCTTTTTACATTGACCTCCTCAATTCATAATCTTCTTATTTGATTTACGACAGTGCCCCGCCCCTATAATAAATATAAAAAAAATAAATGTTATAATACAGTATGTCCTGAACTCCGCATTTTCTGTTACTTTCTTTATCTTTTTAAGTAATTCTAATCCTGGTGTTCCTTGTTTTGTTTTGTATGATTGTAAATCACACGCAATTTGGCCGCAATGCCACGAGAAATAAAAAAAAAAATGTGTATACATGTAATAATGTTGTGGTTAACAAATTCGTTTGTTTTTCAATAATTAATATCAAAATTTGTTAATAATAAATTATCCAAATTACTCAACCTTTTCTACAACTCTTAGTTGTCTTCACTGATTGAATTTATCAGATGGTGTTTTCTGATGACTGACAGTGGAGGTGGAAAATCATCATTATCAGTATCATAATCATATCATCGTTTCTTTCTTCGTCATCTTCAACGTCATTGGCATCGGCATAACGACCATGATGATTGCGAGTGGAAGGCGGTTTGGCTTAGCTGTCTCCATTTTGGTTATTGAACAGGAGTGGCTAGATACACTAACCTGCATTATAAACAGGCTGTGAAGTGGCTCAATACAAGCTTATGTTTCAGATCTATGTGCAAGCATTTTATGGCATATAATATAGTAATTAAGTTATAAATCCCTTACCTAGAAGTTTCTTTCAGGTGATTTTTATAAAAATAAAACAAAGTCATGGTCATAACTATCAGTAATAGTCTTTTGTCATCAATATCATTACAAAAAGTAAGCAACGAAGAAAAAATACATAGATTTACTGACTATTATTGATATAACTTTATTAAATATTTTGTTCTTAAACTTTCTATTCAACATTTTTTTTTCAGGGCACAAGTGTTATATCCCCTGTTGTTCATCTCGTTATTTTTCTGGTTCTTGCTACAGTGGTTATGCAGAGATCACCAACGCAATTATTTCAAAATAACTGTTGTTTATTTATTCTTACATTCGGCATGGTTTCTGCAAAAATAACTAACAAATTGATAGTAAGTTGGAATTATTGTCCTTAAGGTCATAGTAATGGAAATAAGAATAATTGTGGGTTTCTTTATATATTAGATTCCAAATAAACCTTTTTGGTTTAGAAAATTTAGTGTCAATTTCAAACTGTTTTTGTAGGTGGCACAAATGTCGAAAAGTCCTGTAGATTTTGTCGATACCGTTTTTATTGGTCCAATGATGATATTCGTCAACCAATACATGGGATTACCAATTTCTAATGAAAACCTTGTACTTTCGGCAGCTTTGGTAAGTGTTTTGCAACTAAATTTTTTAATGGTTACATAGGCCAGGCCAATATAAACATTGAAAGGGGTCTATATATGTATTATTTCACTTTGTGCAGGCCCATTTGCAATATTTTAAGGATACTAAATTTTGAAGAAAAAAAACCCCACACAGTGACAAATATGATTTTTTCTTGCATTGGTTATACTGTATTTGCTATGCCGTGTGATTTACGAGGAAGCACTCTTTCTCGAGGAGATAAGGAATGAAGGCGTTGTACAGCTAAAATTATGCATGACGTCACCATAATAAGCCACGCACCCACGGCTGAAATGGTTATTTAGCAACTACCCACTATCAGTACTTTCAACTGTCCAAGAAAGTATAATACATACTCCAAGTATTGAAATACACGCCATCGTGTTGGGATTCAATATTTCGAAATTAATTATGTCATCATCAGGAATGTCCAATTAAGGTTAAAAGATCTTGCTTTGAGATGAATTACAGCAGAACGGTGCCCATTGTCTAGTTAGCAATACACCATACCCATAAAAAGGATGTTGATGATAACGGAGTGGATTAGTAAATTAAGCCCAACCTACGCTATGCGTGTTTGCGATATTACAAAAAATAGAACCTCTAGGTTTTATATGATTAGCTTTACTCAACATTCAATTGTCCAGTTACAGTTGAAAAAATCTTGCTTCACTAGATGAATTAACTCTAAAAATGTGCCCATTGTCTAGTTAGCAGTTAGCACTCACAATTACCGCTGTCAAGGAGGTTTTTATTTATCTCTTGTTTGCACAATTACAGAAGAGTGGATTAAATTTAGGAGTCAAAAGGTCAGAGGACAATGTGAATCTGAATCTAAGTTACAAAGAATTCCAGTGGGGTATATGCGTTGGACAAGGTCTCAAAAAATCGAAAAATTTCTTGAAAACTTAGTCCTTTTAGCATAAATATAATGAAATCACCCGTCGCATGAATGCATGGCGGAGGTATACACTTTGGAGTGACTGCACTCTAGTATATGCATTAGATTTTTAGCTTTTTATAGTTATCTGGAGCCTGCCTTTCGACATTGATCCTTCTGCTCTTGAACGGTTGTCGAAACATTTTGCTTGCTCCGGTTACGCTCCTTAATGGTTTCTTCATTGAAAACATCAATTTTATAACAAAGTTACTTTAACCTATGTATAAATACCAACCTCTGAGGGTTAACTGCCCCTTTTATCATTTCTATGATCGGCGCATTATATTGTTGTTTTTATTATTTTATAAAGATTAATTTTCTATTTAATACATATAAAACATGTAGAATCGATTTAATCTTTTGTTAGTATAGTTTGTGTGTTTTGGAATTTCATTATACTTCTTATTATATATTACATTTTAACTTCTACATGCGCAATTTGACCTGTTGATCACAAGATATAACTCTACGTTACTGTGTTTCAGCCCTTACACATTTCCTATTATTATCTTGTAGATTTGGGGTGCAGTTGACTTGATACGTTATTATACAATTATATGTCTTCAAATGGCTGAGTGTGCCGGAATGTATATGTTTGAC